ACGTTTTTTCACTTTCATTAGTTTACAAGGAAACATTTTGTACTTCAAAAAGATACAATCTTCTCGTATCATGGTACAACAGATATAAGGAAAAAAAAATTAATTTATTGTTTTTTTAATAGAAAATTACGAATAAGTAGTTGTTTTGAAAATAATTACGAAACTATAGCACTCAATCACGTTCACATGGGACGTGTTCCAAAGGAGAGAGACACGCCCATATGGAGCGTGAGCCTCAGGGAAAACACGCCCAAGATGGGCGTGACCAGGAGAGAGACACGCCCAACAAGGGCGTGACCTCCCTGATCTATAAATACTCCATTTTTCACTTTTTCCTCATTTCATCCCTCACTTCCTCTCTCTAAACCACTCCTCTAACTTCTCTCTACATTTCTTCTGGAGCGTTTGGCATAGCGAAACTCTGTCTCTCTCATGTAAGTCCCTATTTATTGTTTATATTTTTTTTAACAGCAATAAATATATGATAGTTATTAGTGACTTAGATAATTGTTAGGAGGTTAGAAAAATATTAGTGACTTAGGAATTAGATAGGGACTTAGAAATTAGTTAGTTACTTATAAATTGGTATATGCTGGTGATAGGAATTAGTTATACACTTAGAAATTAGTTAGTTACTTAATTAGATGGGTCACTCACACCCAGAATGGGTGTGTCTTACACATAGGTCACGCCCAAAGAGGGCGTGTTTTCAACATTGGTCACGCCCCACATGGGCGTGTCTCTCTCATCTTGGTCACGCCTCATGTAAGCGTGTTTTCCCTGAGGCTCACGCCCCATATGAGCGTGTCTCTCTCCTTTGGAACACGTCCCATGTGGCGTGACTGAGTGCTATAGTTTCGTAATTATTTTCAAAATGACTATTTATTCGTAATTTTTTATTAAAAAAGTAATAAATTAATTTTTTTGCCAGAGATACAACGAGAATTACATTTTTTTTTTATGTTTGCTTACTTTTAAATTTTTATTAGTATTATTTTTTTTAACTTTTACATTAATTTTTTAATGGGAAAAAGTAATTAAACATTTAAAATTTAAATATGTAAACGGACATGTGTATTACTTAATTAAAGGATTAAGCAAACGAATAATAATTTATATGATCAGATTACAAATAATTGTATAAATTGTATCAAGAGAACATCATCGTCATAGTTTTGCCGTAGGGAGCGTTTGGTACAGGAGAAATTTTTATTTGTCCGGAAATCTCGATTTTCAAAAATATAATTTTTGCATTCAGTTTATGATAATATTAAAAAATTAAAAATTTAAAAAAATTCAATTTGCCAAGAAAAGTGGCATAAAATAGCAAAACTAGCTTCCCTCCGATCAATATTTTAAAAACAGAACAGTTCAGTCGATTCAACTAATCAGATCATAAACTAATTATGTTTTTTAACTGATTATTCCAATTCAACCCTGTTAATTATATTCAGCAGTGTTAAACCGAAGATGTCCAGCATGAATGAGCTGGTATTTCTATCTACGGATAAGTGGTAGAGAGACGCCTGAAAATGAAGTATCAGTCACCCAAACAATAGTCCGATGGAAATAATCAAGGTAAGTGTGTGTTCGATTGAGGGAGTGAGAACGCTCTAAATGATAGAAAGTTCAAAATGCTCAAGCGTAAGCATGTGTGTCCCTCATAACATTGTATCTACCTTTTATAGAGGTTTTGTAACAATTAGGAGAATGTGGAGTGATCTAGAGCAGGAAATCCGCAAGTGATAATCATGGTGATGGGGTGATCATGAGGGAAAACCACGACGCAGGCTGGAGTATCGTGGCAGGCTCCCAAGCTAGAGCGAGTTTCGCTTATGTACAGGGGCAACCTTTTTCTTTAAAGGAGAGTTTCTTTGGTACCACTTTTATACTGATTATTTTTTTTTAAAAAAGATAAAGTTTTGAATTTAAAGAAAAATATGAAAAAAAAAAATTGGATTCAAATGGAATTAAAAAATTTCAATTTAGGAAAAATATTGTACGAATTACCAAAGAAATTTTCCTCTTTACATGTAACCCATATCCCAATTCTAAAGAAAGCTCAAAGCCGAGAACCGATCCCGAGACAACTACCAAATTAGTTCATCTTTCTAATCAAATCATAATCTAGAGCGCTTAATAGTTCAATCACTAATTCAATTTTTTAAATTGCTTCAAATTTTTATTTGGAAAATGCTAATTCTTACCAATAGCATTATGTTAAAAAAAAAATTTACAAAGGAGTTGGTCTTCAGTAAAATGCCACATAACTGGCTAGTAAAGGAGTATATCAAGGCTCTCCATGATGTACTTGTGTACTTCATCCTCTACTAGATGCTATTGATTAGTCTCTTCCTTGCGTCTCCCCAAACAGCTACTATGCCTCGATTATCAATTATTTCCATTTTCTTCAAATTTGTAGTTTTGGGGTTAACTTTTTTGCCGTTACTTTGGAGACGGTGAAATATTAGAAGAACCGGAGTATACTTTCTGGTTCTTAAACCAGATGTCATTTTTGCATATCCTGGTCATGTTGTATTGTAAGTTCTAAAATATCTTTATGATCTAATCATGCTCATATACAATCAGAAGCAATTATATCTAATGCAAAACAATTAAGTGTCATAAATACCCCTGCCATTACTTTCCCTTTTGTTCTGATAACGAGTTGAAATAGTCCACGAGTCAAGTAGTATGCAAGTCTCTTTGAGCACTTTGTAAATCTTCCAAGCTCAAGTTCTCAAGCACAAAGATATATAACCATATGTAAACCCTAACCATCAAGGTATCTGTTATTAGTGGTGTGCACAAAATATAGGATATTGGGATTTTTTTTTTACTATTATAAAAGACTGTTGCTGAAACAATATCGACCATATCTTTGACTTTATTCTCGGTTTCTTACAGATAAAAAAAGGTACACTAACATGTATGTCATGAGTTTGCTATATGATGGCTTCTTTTAGGGACCCTTGTCTCTATTTTTTTAATCTAGAAAATAATTATTACTGGAATATAGCGGGAAATATATTTTACTGAAAAGTTATTAAAAAGCTGTTTGGTAGGATCAAATTTATCCGAGAAATTATGAATTAATTTATTGAATGTGTGTTTGGTTGGTTGTAATATATTTGTGAGAATGTTAGGTTATTTTACGAAAATAACCCTAGCATTATTGGAAATTTACAAATCGTACACATTGTGAAGGTCAATTTAAATATTTTCGCGCTATAAATTTTGCTTCCCCGGACACTGAATAATTCCATCAATTCTTTGGATGTATAATTTGACAAACAATGCGAGAGTTAACACACAGATCCATTTTCCCATAAACATATTTTGCATGAAAAGTTTCGATATTTGAGCTACCAAATGCAACATTCTTTATTCCCCATTTTTGCTTTCCCGAGTTTTAATATAAAAGTCGCGTACCAAATGCCTTGTAATTGTTTTCTTTCCTAAGCATACAAATTGGGCCCTTCAAATTTATTTTCTTATGAAGAAAACCACCGTAATTGTGAGAAGAAAACCAGGAGGTGGAGAAGGAGAATATGGAATATCAAACATTATGATTGAGTCATCTCTTAATGAAATTAAAACAACTGTATCTTAGAAGTACTTGACATGTGATCCAAGCGGAGTTGACATATGACTTTCATAATCGTTTCACGGATATATTTTATATCCTAACTACCTATCCAAGAATCCTTTAAAATATAATAACTCAATTATCCTAATAATATAAAATAGTAAAGTTATTAAGGATAGAATCTTTATCCCAACAGAAAAGGAGTTGAATCTTACTACAACTAGGAGATCTACACAGCCCAAGAGATAACCTCTATAAATACAAGGCTTAAAATCAGTGTTTAAAAACCCGGCCCGGCCGAGGTCAAGGGTCACTGGGTCACGGATTCAATCGGGGGGTCACGGGGTCACTACGCTGACCCGGTTTTATATATTAAAAAAATATAAATATATATATCCTATAAGAAAATATTAAAAAACAAACCACCAATCATCAAAGATTCAAAATATATTTAACATAATTCACCAATTATAACCACAAGTCAATATTACACAACCTAATTAAAGTATCAAGATACCAGAGTACAAAACTCATTCTAATGGGGTCACTATGCTGACCCGATTCTGCCTCTTTTGAGAAGGTCTCTGACAGAAAAATTTAAAGGAAGTAAGAATGAGTTTTTGTTTTCCATCGACGACCGTAAGGATTTCATTTGAATGGGTAAAATCTTTACCTTTTCTAAAAGATTCACGGCAGCGAAGTGAAGATTGAAAACGTTTAGATCGCTAGGAGAGAAGAGAACGATTAGATTTAGGTTTGAAAGCATTTTTATTTTATTTTTTTAATAAAACAATGTTGTTTCATGAAAATAAATTAAAAAAAAAAACATGTAGTGACCCCCTTTGACCCCTCTGATCCCGGAATCACTGAAATTCGATCGAATTTTGGGGGTCAGAGGGGTCGATATGCATATAGGGTCCAACTTATGACCCCAACCCTCAGAGGGGAGGGGTCAGGGTTGACCCGAGTCAACCCAAGGGGCTGGGCGGAATTTTAAAACACTGCTTAAAACCTCCAGGTACACACACTCTGAACTCATTTACTACTTCTGTCCACACTGTGCACACACCCACGTCTCGACTATAAACCTGTTGCTTATGCACAATTATTGGAATATTAGCTACAAGCCAACCAAGATACCTATCTATAGGGTATCTCTAAGCGCATATCTTATGATATTACTATACGGTTCAATAGGACTGAACAGTTTCAAATATATCCAGCTTTTCATATGAAAAAAAATTCTTGCATGCACCTTGACGTACCCAAATTGAATGCGCTAGACTGATAAATTATTAACACATTATTAATTAATATTAAATACTGTTATTAATTAATAATTAAATAACACATTATTCATGATTAACATCTTTTTACAAAAATAAAATAATAATAATACAAAAGACCCATAGTAACTACAAGGTTTCGAAAGACATGCAACGCATTCGTAACTAACCAGTCAACGCATTCAGCTCTTGTACTACCTACCAGCCATCTTCAATTTATAGATTACAAATTTTATTGTCACGCTACAAAATTAATCTTCTATACACCATGTTCCAAGTCATTTCTAAGCCAATTACCACACCTCAACATTCAGCTTTAAAATCATAGCTCTACCACAATGTCTAGAATAAGCATGAATAAAATGACCAAGACTCTCTCACCTAAAAGAGAAGCCCACACCCACTCAGATTTGGAAGCACTATCAAAGTTTGAGAGTAAACCAACCTAATGAAAGGGCATTCCTTAAGCCACTTTTGCAAGTCTGAAGCCATAAAATCTCGGTGCAAATTGGACGGAATGAACTGCACCCAGATAGCCTGCACAGATAGGCAGTTACGAAGGTCACGAAGGACGTGTAACAGCAATTCATCTACATAAAGGCAACTCAAATGGAAACAGTAATTTTTGTATATTAGATCCAGTTCTGCAAATTTGTTATTATGCAAGTTTCCTGGTACATAACAGGGAAGGCCACTATGCCCTCTAGTGTCAAATTTCTACCTGGCAAAAAAAAGCATGCACCAACAATAGGTTTATGTGGCCCCTGTATATGTACATACGGAAGCAAATGGAATATGTCAAATTTCCAGACCAAGATCCCCTCACATTTGGACATGCAATTCAGCACTTGGGATAGGAATTTGCTGAATACAGGTGGCTCACAACATTCTCTTGCATAGATTTATTCTCTGTTAGCATAGATGACTGATAATACTCACTTCCCGTTCCGGTTTGTTGATCACTAGATATCAACCCTTGTATGGCTCCAGACCTAGGCATTAGCCATAGCAGCAACATTAGATATTGACAAAATTCATTTCAATAATAAAGACAACTTAACCGGAAATTAGCAAAATGCCTTAAGCCCATAGATAAGTATGCTTTCTCAGCAAACATTTATAAATTTTTACGTTGACTTTCATGCTTGAATAAGGATATGAGGCAATGCTTTCTCCAGTGGAATCTTAAACATCATAGCTTCAGTCAATGAATCATCTCCTTGTTGATGTTAAGAAAATTAATAAAAACCCCTATGCCAAACAAAGGTTGCTGAAGTAATTTAAAGAATTTCAACTCAAGGATAGGAATAAAGTTCACCCAGGAAAAGTTGAAAAATACCCTTGGCCCGAATATGTGGCAGACACAACTTGTTGAGGAACGTATGGATAGTATAATGATGAAGAAGCATGTGACTGCATCGTGACATCAGCATGTCCCATATTCATTGAGTAGGAATTGAAATAGGGTTGTAGATTTTGGGTTTCCTGATGCGTGTGTTGAGGATCTGGCAATTGAGCATAACTGCTGCCTATATTCGCCATGGAGGAATAAGAGTCAGACTGCATATTAAGGATATTCTGGTGTGTATCGTATTGGGCATAACTGCCGCCCACATTCGCTACTGAGGAATGAAAATCACGTGGCGGGTTTAAGACACTCTGATGTGGATGTTGAGGATCTTGTAGTGATCGAGCATGACTGTTATCCATAGTTATTGTGGAAGAATGAAGTTCAGGTTGTGGATGTATGATACTCTGATGTTGAGTATCTTGTAGTGATTCAGCATGACTGCTACCCATAGTTATCACGGAAGAATGAAATCCAGGTGGTGGATGTAGGATACTCTGATGTTGATGTAGAGGATCTTGTAGTGATTGAGCATGACTGCTACCCGTAGTTATCATGGAAGAATGAAATCCAGGTTGTGGATGTAGGATATTATGATGTGCATATTGAGGATCTTGCAATGACTGAGCATAACCGCTGCCCTTATTCAACAGGGATGAATGAAATTCAGGTTGCCGGTTAAGTATATTCTGATGTGTATATTGATAATCCAGCAGTGGTCGAGTATAACTGGTGCCCATCCCAGCTGCATAAGTACCCTCCAGAGTAAGTGTACTTGCTGAGGCATGAAGCTGATTCCTTGAAGCTTGGGATGGCAAAGATTGGGCTGCGGCTGAATTTGGCATCAAATTAATGACAGGATAGGCACAACCAGTAGGCTCCTCCAGTTCATTTACATGTCTATAGTTCAACTTCCTTGGTGTTTGATCAGGTAACATCCTAGATAAATATGCATCTTCAGAAATGGATGGCCTTGATATCTGATGAAAAACATTATTCACTGGTGGAAGTGGCATCTCTGAGGGAGAGTATATCTTCTTCAAAACAGGATGTGTAGGTGCAGTTGACGATACATGTAATGGGCGAAACAATTCTAATAAACTTCTTACCTGCAACATTACAACAAATTCCAACTAAAAAAGACATAGTAGTTACAAGAAAAGTTTCTCTTACTCAAAAAGAAAAGGCAAGGAAAAGAAAGGCAGAATGAAATAATTGTAATTAAAATCAATTTGATAGATACCAAAATTAAACTTACTTGTCTAATATTGAGTTCAGGGTTGAATTTGTTGTTGTTTTTCTGGTAATTATCCCGAATAGCATGTTTAAAGCAATTCTCTGGTAAGGGTAAACAGTCCACGTAAACTTTGAATCTCACCTGAACAAAAGCAAAAAAAGAAAGGAGGCAGATGGGAAAAGAAAAGCATTAATAGATATGGTGTATTTGAAGTCACTATTTGATTTTGAGTACAGGAGTTATGTAACGAACTAAAGCAAATATTCCAAGAATAGACCGGAAACAGAGATAATTTGTATATATATTCTTCAAACAACAGTGTCAATTACATGTAATCAATGGAACAGTATTCCATCCTGACTACCACGTTTTACAGAAGACCAGCAGAAAATACAAAATTAAAGGAAATGAAAGATAGGTTCAGAGGAGTTGGAGAGCCCCTGGTCTCTCCCAAAGAGCATTTGTCCCAATAGCCCAAAAGATATCTGGTTATTGATCCTTGATTCCCTTTTATTCTAAAGCTCTAACCGCTTGCTGAGTCAGCACAAGCGTTTGTTGCACCAGCTGCTACGTAGTGAACATTATCACTTGTTGCACCTGCATTATCGTTTGTTGAATCGCTAGATAAATTGAGAGAGGTTAATTCCCTGACGCGCTGCCTATGATAAGTTTTTAATATAGGAGGGGTTGTATCAAGTTATCAGAGGCACTTGTTGTTCAGGTGCCAAAAACTTATAGCCCCTCAACTAGCCATATGACTTATAAAATTAATAAACGAACACTGACCAAAATAAGGAAAAATCAGGGAAAACAATATACCCAACTAGGTAACCATACAATGTTACAATGAAAAAGAATAGTGGGGACAACTTCAAAATAATCAATTGACATTAAGGTTCACTGGTTTACTCCTAGCACTACAACAAAGTGAATGGTAATAAGTATTGCCAAATGCACCAGAATAATCTGCCAGAACCAATCATATTCCTCCATATGTATCCAGTATGCACCCCCACAAGTAAATCAAGAAAGTAACACCCAACAAGCAAGTTATACTCTTGAAGCATCAACAATTTACAGCACTAGATTTCAGAAGATGAAAGCTACAACAATGGAGGATGTGGGAAAAGGAAAAGATAGGAGAAATGAAGGAAAAGGAACAATATTATTGTAAAATGAACAAATAATGAATACAAGAGGTGAACCTGTTAACAAGGGAGATGCTCCCTTCCCATAGAGAATGTCTGGGTCACTATAAATTTGCCAAACGATATTCTAACAGAGGCTTGTATCCCCTTATATACAAATGATTAGGATTCCTGTTAAGCCACTAACTAACTGCTTCTAACTACCTATCCATCAACTCTAACTAACCTGGCCTCTAATCAAGGCCCTTTTACAATCCAATCCCAGTCGTAACACACTACAATAAAGTCAATGGTAATATGTATTTCCAAATGCACCAGAATAATCTGCCAAAACCAATCATATTCCTCCATATGTATCCACCCCCACAAGTAAATCAAGAAATTAACACCCTACAAGCAAGTTATACTCTTGAAGCATCAACCATTTAACTGGCTAATCTAAGAACTAACCAAATAAATAAGTTTGAGAAAAGGGCAATTTTATTGTATTCAGGCAACGGATAGTAGAGGTAAAAAATTACTACATAAACGGCATATTATAAATGCGATTAAAATAAATTGTTTCTTCTTGTTACTCACTGGAAACATGATTAATGCGACAAAAAACTAGGTGATGCTACCAACACCATTTCTACAAACACTAGCAATCTCACCTGAGCAGGGAATTTCCGACCAAAAGCTAATGGTTCTAACTTTAGCTTCCCAGTTGAGGTTGCTATATATGGGCCATAGAGAAGCTTCACATCAGTGTCAAACAGAAAAAGGTATGTGCCAGGATTGATTTTCTCTACAACATCCTTTCTCCCTGCAGGAAGCCCAAAGACACGGTATCGGTAGCAATCTGGTTTTGTCGCACTATTACACATGAAAATAAAGCCAGAAAGCTTTTCATGGTTGTTCATGCCCTCTTCTTCTGCTTCCATTGAATCACTGCATAAGTTAGCAACAGATTGATTCAGGTAACATTATCTCGAACAATCTTGTATTCCCACACCTGCCTTGGCTCTTAACGAAAATTCAAACTAATAAAAAGGACAAGGAAATGAACACAAACCCAAACAGGCAATGCGGTAATTTCATGTTATACAAGAGAAAAAGACACAAAAACAAGTATACTACCACCTACCATTATTTGTGTAGCTCCACTAAACTTGATTTTATGTCTTTCCCCTAGTAGTGATCCAAATCCTTAGGAATAATAAACCCTAGTTTCAATTTCAAAATCAACCATTCTATCAAAGTTTAATCACTAAAATGAATAAATAAATAAAGAGAACCAAAAAATGCAGAGCTGGCGAACTCGTCAGACAGCCATGAAGACGTCAAGGGTATGATCAAGAACGCAATTAGAGTGAATAAAAAAAAAAACCCAAAAAGAAAAGGGGGGAAATGTTAGGTGCCGAAAATGAATTAGGCATTTTAATTTCTTTATTTTTTTCACGCAATTTAAACGAGGCAACGTTTTGGAGAACCAAAAAAGGAAAAAAAAGATAGAAAAAAAAGATTGAGGTTGATTTCTTACATGAAAAAATGGGGACCCAGTGGGAGATTGAGAAAAATGGAGCAAGTAATTGAAACTGAGCAAGAGTTGTACTTGTGTTCCTTTGAACGAAATGACTCAAGCACTTGATCTTCTGTAGAAATATTCTTTTTCCATGTCACTTAGCAATTAATCTTTGGTGTCAGTGTTGTATAAAAGATTCGCTGCATTTCACCAATGTTTCATGGGAACAGTACATCTTAATCAAAATTCTTTTTTTCTTTTTGTCAAATTTATTTTCTCTCTCGTGTGTAATACTCTTATCAGTGAAATGCACTGAATTTAGGTGCAACATATGCATTTAAGATTTATTTATTACTTAGCTCAAAATGGTTTTTTAAAAAGAATTTAATATATATATATATATATATATATATATATATATATATATATATATATAGATATAGGGTTAGGATCATTTTACACCAGAGTAAGTTACACTCTCAATCTTGTCCGTTGATTCCACTTATATCTATGGGCTCAAATTTTTTAATAACTTGAACTATTGGATACAAGTGGATCAATGGTCAAGATTGAGTGTAAGACTTCTAACTCTTACACCGGTGTAAGAATATCCTGCCCCATATATATATATATATATATATATATATATATATATATATATATATATATATTTTTGAGATTAATGTTTTTCGTATTATAAGATATCATTTTATTTTCTAAGCACGCATAAAAGTGTATGGGGCTCATATTTTTTTTTCTCTTCTCTTTACATAGACTCCATCCATTTTTATGTGTATTTAAGAGGGAAAATACAACTCTCATTTTACATGAGATAGTTATCTCATTTTCTCTCACTTCGAAAATCGCATCCCTTCTTTTTTCTTTTTCTTTTTTGCTTTTTAATGGTGGGTCTCACTTAAATTCTCTCTATAACATGAGAGAACTACTCTCATGTAACATGAGACTAATATTCCCCGTTTAAGAGATACAATTATTTGTAGAACATGAGAAATATTAATCTCATTGTGGGCTTTGATTTTCTCATATTGCATGAGAATACAATTCACATGTTGTGACTCAATTAGTGGTGAGCTCCATACTTATTAAAAAAAAGAAAAAAGCTTTGGACGCAAATCGAAGGATCACAACATGAGAAATTCTCATATATGATAAGGATCATTTTACATCGATGTAAGTTCACTCTTAACTACACTGATGTAAAAATAAGAAGTCTTAAATATTTAATAAATCAAATCTTGGTTATTGATTTCCTTGCAACTAACGTCTTAAATATTTAATAAATTAAAATCATTAGATATAATGGGTAGTCATAAGAGTTGTTCCTGTTTATTCTTGTGTTTTAATTTCTTAAGTAATCCGTGTTTAATTTATTATAATTTAAATTATAATAGGCCTGGTATGCCTTGAAGGTTTGATAGGCTAGGTAAAGCTCAAAGCATTCTATATTGGTATGATCTACTTAAATTAAAGCCTAGTCTAATTATAATAACTCTAATTTTATAATTTTGAAATTATAGGATTACTATGAAAACTTTAGGGTCATAAATAGAATGAGAATGAAATTATAAGAATTTTGATATCCATATTGATAGTATTCTACACAGGTGGATTTTAATCTGTTATTTTTTACTGCTGACACAGTAACAGTCAGTAGAATAGCTCCAAATTAGCAAATTTGAGTTGAAGAGCTATTTTGATGATATGATTACCATAGATGAGGTTAGTATATGATTTGATGAAGTTTGATACTCATATTGGGATATTTTAGAAAAGTCACTTCTGCCGGGTATTTTGTACTAATGTAGAAGGAGCCGGTAGAATCCCGGAATGGAAAAAAGATGAGAAAATGGAATGAAAGACCAATATATGTCTAACAAGTCATAATTAGACCAATAATGTTAAAGTTAAGAAGATTATAAAATTCGGGTACAGTTAAGAACACCGGTAAAGACTACAGTGCAATTAAACAGCAGTAAGTGGATCTGTGATCTACTAATCAAATTTTTAAGTTAGGGACATGATAATTAGACAAATTTAATATTAATTACTTAAAGTTAGAGTCTTGGGTGTTTCCGGGTAGAAATTTGATAACCGTTCAGAGAAAAATTACACCGGGTGTCACTAAATGAGAGAAAGTCCCTTAATGACATGACAAAAACCCTAAAAACGTAAGGAGACCCTTCCCCTCATTCTCATCAGCAGCCTAAACACTTCTCTCTACCTTGGAGGCTTTCAAATTTTCTCCTCCTTCTCTCTAGATTTCCACATCCAAAACTCCATCAAATCACTAAACACCCTTCACAAAACTTGTTCCCCTCATCCTCTTCAGGAACATATCATTTTTGTTCTTGAAAACCAAATTTTCGTGGTGAATAGCCCTCCATACAACAGCGATTTTTTAGTATGTTCAAGCCATGGTGATGGTGTTTTGAGTTCTCTTTGAAGAACACCACTTTGGTGCTTATTCCCTTGAGTTCTAGTGTAAGTCTCTTGAACTTTGTTCTGGAAAAATCCCACCTTTGAATTGTGTTCTTGAGTTCTAACATAGTGCCTTTCTTAAAGGTGTGTTCTTTTTGGAAAGAAATCATTTTTGCTTGAGAAAGATGGGAGCTTGAAGCCTTGGTGCTCACTTGGAGAAGTAAGCGTGAAACCTTGGTGAAATGGTGACCAAAATCCTCCCCCACCCACATGCACAATTCAGCCAACATGTGTTCATCATGGGGTTGATGTTTTAAATTAATAAAAATTGGTTCTTGATGTTCTAAAGAGTATATAATCATAAGTGTGATGGGAAAGGTTAAAAATGCAACCTTTAATCTTAAAAACACTAATTATGATTAAGGAATGGATTTGAACCCTAATAATACCACTTAATCAAATCTTCCCCTTGGAGTATGATTAGGATTTTATGTTTGAAAATTAATGAAATAATGGATTAGTGGACTAATTAAGTGCAAGACTTAATTAACTAAAGAAATGGGGAAGTTGACAAGTTAAAAACCTTGTTTATAGCACTTAAACAATTCGGCCAAGGATCAATTAGGGTTAGTATCTTAAATGTTGGTTCAAGACCTAATTAGGATAATAATCTAAGGTTTAAGTGAGGTGGACCATACATAATGGACTAATTAATTATAAAACTCTAAAATTGAACCTAATTAAGGTTTAGAAGCACTAATTATATAATTAGTGAAATTAATGAACTAAGACCTAACGTGACTTTGTGTAAATGCATAAGTGACCTAATAATATAAAAACCCTAAAATTAAAGTAACTTAGGGTTTCCAACTAAACCTAATTAGGAATTGCTTATTGAACACACTTCGATTAAATGACCAGTTTTTAGGCTAACTTTGAGAGAGCATATCTCCCTCCATAGAGGTCCAATAGAGATGTGCCATAATCATTTTGAAGCTTGAGATGTCAGCTATGTTGTGTCAAAATTTGGTACCATTTAAAGATGTGTAGCGTTCTGTAGGTCCGATTGAGTGGATACTGTCCAGGGAGGCCATGTGCAAGGGCTGAACGTGTCTGCATCTTCCACGAATTATTTCTCCCTCAGTTCTTACTCAAATTAGGCTCATGGTATATCAAATTAAATATGAATGTGTCTAGTTTTCTGTATAAAAAATTGAGAGCAATTGGTTTAGTATATTTTCCAGAATCACAGAAATGGTGAGGGATGTTTGGGGCTCTGTTTGGAGTTGGCAGACAGTTTTGCTTGTCCAACTTCAAACGGTGATAACCTGAGCTAGAGAACTCCAAATGAGGCATGTGATACCTTGTTAGAAAGGTAATTGAGTATAAATTAATATACTAAAAGATGAGAATGTTATAACAAGTGGGTTGCGCAGTGACTAGAAAACAGAAGCATGTACAGTTATAGGAAAATCGTAAAAGTGAGATTTAGGCTAAGTGGGTTTATGGGAACCACTTAGTAACTTATAATAATTAATGTTCAAGGTTATGAATGAGATATATTGATGATAAATGTCTTGATTAGTTGTAAGTTAAGTGGAAAAGGCCTTAATCAAAGAGAGTTTATTAATGGACTAAGTGTCTAATGAGTTATTGTGGACATAGTGAACAAATGAACACCTTATGTACCCTATGTATGTCACAGTCATAAAGGATATATATGGCTAGGATGAGTTGAAAATAATACAAGTTATCTTAGTTTCCTTATAATGTAATTCTAAGTTTATGTAAAGTGCTTAACCTATATGGTTGATTGTGTAACAAGTGAACACTTCATAATGCACTAAAAACATGTAAATATGGAATAAATGGTCTAGACTTGTAATGGGCATATTATTGGCATATAAGTACGAAATGTGGAATCATTAAATGGTTAAGTCTTATATATGACTTGATTAATTACTATGTAATTAATGATGTGAATGGTTTCCACTCTAGGTGTGCCTAGAGAACCTTGCATTTCAGGATTGATTTGGAGCATACGTTTTTATATTGGAGTGTGGGCTTGTACTAAGTTCCTTGAGGTTACCTCCTGGTTTTGGCTGCTCCTCTCTTGTGGCCCCACCATGATGGTGGGCATTATGGTTGAGATGTATGAAAGTATGGGATAAGTTGTATATGTGCATTCATTCACATTCATATAGATATTATATGATTCTTGATATTATGATGATGCACTGATGATGTATGTTATGAGGTTCCTGGCCAGTGAATATGTATGTAGGCTGCCTATGGCTTAGCCCTGGGAGTTATTTCATACTACAGTTTGTGTTGACTGCCTATGGCTTGACCCTAGGAGTCACACTAGGCATGTGAGAT